TAACGTATTGTGGATACTAAGCACAATACCAATACCGTATCGAGTATCAAACATTTTCTCAATACTATCACAATATCAATACTGTTACTGGTATCCTCGTCAAGAAAGGTTAGCAAGGGCCTACACATAAGGTGCATTTCAGTTGAGTGGGGATGAGGCAACAAGTGATAATATGTATCATATAAGAGCTAAGTGTATAAGCTTTGAAAAGAAGAAACAATAATATGAAAGCTGCGTGTTTAAGCTTAAAAAGGAAAAGAGACAACAAAAAGATAGAAAAAAGCGTGTGTAGATTTAGAAGAGAGACAAAAAAATCAAGAAACACGGAAAGAAAACAGAATACCAAACCGCTGACAAGCTTATTTGATTTTGTTCAACCCCTTCTTTTACGATGTGATTGGTCCAATGCAATACTATTTGCCATACATCTTTGACACTCTGCAAACTCCTTGCCTGCTATAAAAATCCCCTCCTTAGACCACATACAAGCACCAACTGAGCGCTCAACAGTTGCTGGTTTCATAGCTCCTCGATCACGGCAACAAACATCTGCAGCTGCTGAGAAAGTCCTCTCAACAGCACAAGATGCCCCACACACCGCTAGGTAATCTTGTGCCAGAGATGGTAAAACAGGGTATCTGGCTTCATTGACCTAGTAAAATGATTTGAGTCAGCTTCAAGTCGATCTATAAAATAGATGATGAGGATAAAAAAAGATCTACCTTCCACCATTCTAAAGCAAGCTTGGGGTCCTTTTCCACTGCCTTAGAAGGCTCATCGACTCGGTCAAAATAGTTAGTAAGTTCATTTTCAGAGCGAGTCTGAACTTGCTTTTTATGAGCTCTAAATCCGTCATCATCCTCATCATCATCCTCATTTGAATCAGCCACACTGTTATTTTTATTCTTGCCAGCTTTGATTTTTTCTTTTCGATGGTTGAAAGCGCTTTGTAACAATTCTTGAGCAGTCTTGTATTCAGAAGAGTTGTTGCCAAACGCGGATTGGAAGTAATCGGTTCGCCAACTGGGGTGAAGGATTGTAGCTAGGACCAGCACATCTGATTTGAGAGCTTCAGATAAGTACGACTTCACCCGGACATGCATAGCATGGTACATCGGGAAGAGTGGGTCTGCTTGTGAATCACAGGCATCGATTTTTGCTTGAAGGGTTTTCTTGAGTTTAACGTATTCGTGAATAACTAAAGAGCCAGTTGGAGCATCAGCTTCAAATAGCTTGGTCAACGATTGAAATTCCTAAGTAAAAGCAAAGGTCAGTAGGATGGATAGAAACAGATACTAAGTAGTTGTGAAGACTTACACGAAGGACAGTGATTAATTTACCAACTTGCTTCCATTGGTTGGGGGAAACGTGAGCTTTGTTGAAAATGCCACGAGGTGGGTCATCATTGGGATCAGCAGGCCCAAGATCCAATTCTCGATGTTTTGCCTGTTTCCCTTTTGATATTTCCTTTTGATCGTCTTTGAGCATTCTGTCGATGACCTGAAATGAAGGAAGTATTAATTTTGGAACATAAAGTGAGAAAAAAATACATACCTCTTGAGCATTAAACAACCTTTCCCAACATTGCAGCTTTATGTTCCATCGTATCCCATACCCCGGAATTGGTTGAGGAAAAGAAACCCCCATACTTGCACATGTTGCATCGAAAACAGATAGCATTCTCGATGAGCCTCCAATCTTTTGAGCTATTTCATCAAGCTAATACAAAAAAAATCAGAAGAGAGAAGTAAAAAAGGAAAAGAAAATTAACTTACCACCAGTGTCAAATGGTATACCGCATTGGCTTCATTACGATTTGATGCAGGCAGATCATCGGGAAAAGGACCATTGATAACTCCATACCATTTATCATCAACGTCCTGACCTGGTAAATCAACAAGGTCTTCTTCATCTTCATCTTCAAGTACGTCTTCATCATGTTTGCCTTTTGAATCATCAGATTGCTTTTTCAAATTGACGTCTTGACCTTCTTTGTCTTCTTCAGTAATAGTATCCATTGAATGATCAGGAATAGGGAAATCTCCAAGAATCGTAGACTTAACCAAAGGGGGCGGTGGGGCTTGAATTCCTAGCGCTTGAAGTCCTGCATTTACTACCAATGCTATCTTGTGACCAGCACATTGTACTCGGTCAGTCGACTCGTAGAAATCGAAGTCTTCAAGGTTGTCATGTGCCACTTTTGACAGTCGTGCTTGCATCGCACGAGCACAGGTATCATTGTTACCACGGGAATCATGAGTCTGAAATATCATGTGCGATGAATAAGAGATCATATCAGCCGGAGAGAATAAGATCATGTGAGATAATATACGAAAATAAAATAAAATACTTATCTTGGAGTAAAGATTGTGTTTCACAAGCACATTGATGAGTGGCTCAGCTAGCCATTCACCCTTATGGTGCCATGCAATCATCTTCATTGCAAGATGTCAAGTCACATACTTCCATTCACTATTGATGTAGGTGAATGAGGCGGATATAAAACCATATTGGTTGCAAGGTGAAGTCCAGGCGTCGAGAATCAGTCCATACTTGGATTTGTTTTCCTATATTGAAAATCAAATATTGATTCAACATTTAATCAATATTGGTTTGATTATATGTTGAATATATGAAAACATTGGAAGAGTTAATTACTTACTTGGAGGTCAGATATCACAGTGGATCGGAGTCCAAGATACATTTTGTGAGGAAAGCGTGCTACCCAAGTGCGACCATAAAGTTGGGCCAAAGGATTGGCATATCGAAAAGCTGCACAAAGAGCCTGATCTTCAATACGTAGCCAAGGTTGAGCTGTTCGCACCACCCACATTCCAATCATCTGATTTAATACTGGGTTAGAAAAGGCAGTTGACTTTGGAAAATAAGAATCCATTGCTGATTGAGCCATTTCTTTCTGTTTCTGTTTGTGCTGAAGGGCTCGTTCTGCAGCAATAGTGATAGGAAGACGGCAACCTGCAGCTTTGGCTACCTCCCGTTGTTTGCATCCAGGACGGCCAGATTTTGTAGGCTGAGTAGAACCATCTCGATGGGCAAGTAGATTGGTGTTAGAACCACCTCCACCACGAACCGGTGTAGAACTCCTACGCTGTGTGGCGTAGGCTGAGCCGGAGAGGGGAAGAGCTTCCACTGATGTAGTACGTAGAAACTCAGGTGCAGTGAAGCTGCCCTCAACCTTAGAATAAAAGTTCAAAAATAAAAAAAACACAGAAGCAATTCTCTAACAATTTTATACCTTCACAATTATAACCCGCAACCCTATTCTAATATTTCTGAAAGATCCGCAAGAACTGGCGGAGTACAATGATATACCTCACAACACTACACAAGGTTGTGTTGTAAAAATATGTTGAATTCTAGTTCTGTTGTGATTCTTACTACGTGTAATAGAGAAATAAAAATATAATTCTGATATTTGAACAAAATAACACCTAGATAACTTATGAGGTAGAGAGAGAGAAACTTGAGAAAATAAAATTTTCTAAAGCCAAGTATGAGTGTTAGAGGAACCACACTAAAAAAATAAAGAAAATCCAAAAAGAAACTGCCAAGGCCTATAAGGGGTTTGAACCCAGGATCAGGATTGGTCTTGACAATGACCTTTCACGTGAGGTGAAAGGTAGTAAAGACTAATAAAAAAAATAAAATAGCTAGTCCAATCCCTGTCTCAGCTTCAGCAACCACAGATTCCAATGTTTCAAAGTACTAAGAAGATCAATAACACCACCGATACGATTTAAGGAATAGCTGATCTAAAAAAATAACAACGATCAAACAAAACCTCCACTTCCAATTTCTAACAAGAACTCTCGAGTAAGTTCTTTTTTCTTAAAAAAAACTTCTCAAAAACACTAATTGCTAACACTTTCTTTTTGATTAAAACACTATCCTCTTTTTTCTTTTAAAAATGATTGATTCCTTTCTTTATAACTAGATGAATTCAAAAAGAAAACAAAAAACTTCCCCCTCGCGAATGAAAGAACCAGGTCCTCTCCAACCTCCTCCTTTTGTTCATTTCCTCACTTCCTTCTTACTCCGATCGGTCTAAATTCTACTCAGTTCACCTCAAGGTCCTTTCCATTCGATTTTTGATTAAGTTTTATTTACTTGTAAGTACCCTCTTTTCCTTCTTGCTCATCCTTTCTTGCTACTCAACTCTCGCCTATCACCTCACTTTTACTGATTTCAATCTTTCATTTAGGTTCTTTTTCTGCTACTACTTCTCCCATCCGCTCAATTGATAACTCACATTATTGCTTTCTCCACCTCCAGCTCTCCTTCATCTTCTTCAACTACCCACCCTCTTTTTTTTTTTTTCTTACTTCATTCTTCGATTTCCACCTCATCATCTCGATTTTCTCTCAATCTCTCTTTCACAATTTATACTTTAACCTCAAGCTGTAAGTTACTCTTTCCCAATCGATCTCATCTTTTAGAGTTTTACTGACGCTTTCTTTTTAATTTGTTTATTCTCCGTCCTAGTCTTCCTTTTCTAGGTACACCTAGATCTTTCCCCATCACGCTATCGATCTCTGATTCCTCTCGCAGCGTTCCACCTTCTTTTATTTATTAAAACTAGCCAAGTTGTGCGGCGGGCGCCGCGGTCACAACAAGGGATCATTTTAGGTCAATTCAAATAGTTAGAATCGACTTCACCTTCAATTCGCTGGAAGCTTGTTCATCGTCCATCTACCCAGTACGTAATCTCTTGCGAATATTCCTCTTATAATTATTTAACTAATTCAAATGCCGTGTTTTGTATGCGCTACTCCTATCTCAATCATCTAATCCCCAATCAGTACTCCCAGTAATATTCTATTTGACTATCAAATCTTGTTAAGTAAGTATTTTCTCTTTTTCCATTACACGCTTCAAGTTATTCATATGTACTAATCTTCATTTTTATTCTTATTTTTACTTTTACTTTGAATTCTAGAACCTTCATCTTGTTTGATTGTTCACATATATTGTTGTCAATAATGTACCACCCTCGATCATGTGAAATTTGTTTCTACCAAGATAAGACTTGTACTTGGACAGATCTTGAAACTGCTGCACCTCCCAAAGATTATAAATGTGACCGTTGTGCCAATTTGAATCTTTTGTGTGGTATGTAACACAAAAATTTTTAAATCTCCAACTTGTGATTGAATTCATACTGATCAATTTTATTTTGTTTCCTTTGACTTTTCATGTCTCTCTCCTGATTCTTGATCTAGATTGGCCTTCACGTTCTCCTTGCCGTCGTCCTACTACGTCCAAGCGGTCACCACCTGCGCTCCCTGTCAATCCTCCTAAACCAGTCTTTCGCAAAACACCTGCGCCTCAAAAACCTCCAAAGCATTCTACTTCTCGTGAATCTGACGCGTCCAATGTCCCTTTCGTTAAAGAAGAATCCAGTTCGTCGCATCCTATCACTCCCAAAATGATGTTAGACATGTTATTTTCTGATATTCAACCTTTTTCTCAAGTTCATGTCAATCAATATGTTGAACAACTGGGTGAAGAGGCTAAGGGTTTGTGGTTCACTCGACATTTGACGTTTGAAGAAAAAATCAGGATGGTCGGCGGAATGACTTCAAAATTATCTCCGGTTCATCCTACTATAATTTTGACTGAAAGAATGAATGCTGTCCTTCTTCAACATTGGAACAAATTTAAATCGTACTCAAAAGAAGAATCTGAAGCTCGTGTTGGTGTTTCAGAAAAATTTAAAGATCTTGTTGCTGAAACTCTTTTATCTATGTCCAACTCTTCCAATTCTGCTCAACCTCCAACTTCTAGTTCTTCTTCTCGTGACAAAGGCAAAAAACGCGCCCTAAACCAAGATTAAGTTGTGTTCTATTTCTATCTAACTTGTCTGATTTCCTTCCTCTGCTGTGTTTCTCTTTCAAAATGTTTTCTCTACATGTTATGTCTCGATGACCATATGTTCATGTTGTAATTTTATGGTTATCTGATTCTTGACTCGTGACTCTTGACTCTTGACTTGGTTTCTCGTTAAATAATAAACCCAAAAAAATCTTATGTATAATGATGTAGTAGGAAAATTTCTTAGAAAAAATCATGCATAATAAAAAAAACAATGTTTGGAATTGAACTTTTATGAGTCTTTGCCATTTCTTCCTCCATCTTTTCGCGCCACCTCCCCCAACTTGAATGAAAATTTGCCACAATCGTGATACACCTCCCCCAACTTAAATGAAAAAACCGCTACTTCGACTTCTAATTTTCTTCATCTTCAACTAAAATATAACATCTTCCTGTTGCACTTATCCGTAAGACTTCATCAACTTCCTTGTATAATTTTAACCATAACTTTTTTTAGATATTTCAATAATAATTTCTTATTCCCGTAATCCAAACAATAATTTTAACAAAATCCAAGTAACCTCTATCCTAGGCCTTGACAATAAAAAAAATCCGTGCATTGGGTTCTGTCCCGTATCTAACTTGTAATAATTCACAAGAAATATATGTATCCACGTATCTTCAAAATGTAATGTTATAATTTTAACTTGAGAGTTGTGTTGTTTTGCCTGATTTGCACTTTGTGTAAATGAAATATTAAGTCTTTAACTCGTAAAACACGAAATCTTCCGTAATAGTAAACATAAATGTTGTAGTAATGCTATCCGTCTTGCGTCCAATTCACGTTCCCGTAAAAGAAAGAAAAGATTTGCTGTAGTAGTAACCATTTTATATGTCATTTTATTGTAATTTTGTTGCCGCTTTGATTGTTTCCATTTTAATGCGCAGCCTCTCCCCAAACCCCCTACTACAGACTTAATTTGTTGTAAATTTAATTTGGTTTAATTTGATAAATTTGCTTCACTGTAACACTAATGAACTAATACCGCGAGCTATCCACATCCTCAACAACCCACACTACACCAAATGTAATCTCCGTAATAA